CAGAGCCGAACCCCGGCATAATGAAGGCGAGGATCAGCAAGATGGTCGCACTAGGTCACAAAATCAGCGCTCTGAAGCAATGTAATTACCTCACTATTATTCGTACTCTTATTCTTATTCCTAGCACCACTGGTATTACTAGTATTACTATTAATACTAGTATTACCAGTACGAATAGTATTACTATAATTACTGTTATTACTATGGTAGCATCAAGCAGGGATGTTTACAAACACCTTCAGGGCCAGGCATCCCAAGCAACTTCTTCACGGCCTCACCTGCGAAAAGGAAACTGCAAGAAACCTGGAGCGAAACTGGGTTTTGCTGTTGAGGAAAGTAATTTAAGCTACCGAATTTAGGGGAAACCCTGTGATTCACAATATATATATAGAGAGAGAGAGAGAGACCCTATTTTTTACAAGATGTATATATATATATATAGACCCTATTTTGTAAGTTCCTTAACAGCAACCCAGTAAAAGGTTCCTGTGTACATCTGCTTCATCCGCCTTCGGTGCCCTCGGAGGCGCCCTGCACAACCATATATACCTTGGGGCTTCGAACCACTCAAGTCTCTTGTCTGGTTTCCATACAAAGTGCCCCAGACCTCAAACTCTAAACCCTAAACCCTTAAACCCTTAAACCCTAAACCCCAAACCCTAAACTAAACCCCAAACCCTTAACCCTAAACCCAAGTGCAATCTGGGCTACTGCCGTTTCCCAGGAGAAGCCCAACACCAGCGCTGCCACTTTCACAAAGGCTTCCGAGTTGGAGAGAAGCCAGTCTTGCGGCGGTTTAGAGGGTTTAGGGTTTAGGGTAAAGGGTTTAGGGTTTAGAGGGTTTAGGGTTTAGAGGGTTTAGGGTTTAGGGTCTAGGGCTGCTTTAGAAAAAGGATGGTGAATAGACTACACTTTCAACGGAGATTCCGTGTTCTTTTTACTGATCGGCTGATGATAGAGTAGTATGGAGAGCACATTGGTGAGTTCCCAAAATCAGGGTACCATTTTGGGGATCCCAAATAAAGGTCACAGTATTCAAGGTCTATAGGGCTCACCCCTATTTAGGGAGACTACCACATATATCCAGCAATAATCTAATAGTTTCCATGTCCTCTTCCATTATTCCCTACATGACCCCTGTACAAACCCAGTTGATTTACCCGATCTATGGAAACTACCAGTCTAATAGCACATAATGAGCCACAAGCTCTTAGGAAACCTTATAGTAATCCCTATATAATCCTCATGTAACCCGCTTAAAGGAGTTTAGACCCTAAACCCTAAACCCCAAACCCTAGCTAGGTCTGCATTACGGAATCCGCCCACCTGCTTTCCTCACCAGCTTGGCAAAGATCATCGGAAGGAAGACCAAGGCCTTAGCCCCGCAGCTTAATGCAGACCCGTGACTAATGAACCCTCTCCTCTCAAGGGCCTTAATATTCGGATCCCTATTATACTTGATCCCCGGATTAGGGGTAGGATCTCCATTGTAAGCCCTATTTAAGGGGAGGGGGTCTAGTAATCAGGGGTCTACATTAGTAAAGGGACTCTACTGGGAACCCCAAATAGGGAACCCCAAGAATTTAGCAGGAATATAATGGAATATAAGNNGTATATTCCTATTATATACCTACCATATTCTTGGGGTTCCCGGTTTGGGGTTCCCAGTAGAGTCCCTCTAATTAGGGGTTTAGGGCTTTGGGTTGAAGCCAAGTAGCCGAGGCCAACAGCGCCAAGGCGTTGGAGGCCGTCAGCTTGGCTGTGTGGTGCGAGCCGTTCGGACCATCCGCGGTTATGTGCCAAAGAGTCCACCTATTGCACTGGGGATTCAGGGGTTTATGGGTGTAGGGGTTTAGGGCTTAGGAATTAGGTTTAGGGTTTAGGGTTTAGGATTTAGGGTGTAGGATTTAGGGTTTAGGGTTTAGGGGTTTAGGGTTTAGGGTTAGTATAACATGGCGAATGGGTTTAGGGTATATAGGAGTTTTTAAGGAAATACAGGGGCTCTGGAGGAGAAACTTCAAACTACCATTTAGGGCTTAATCTTTTTGCAGCTGTGTGACTGGCAGAGATAATAAACCTGCGCAGAAGCACATCGTCTACAACGGCCAAGGTCCACTCAAGCTTCCCAGACCCCTTTTTAGATCCCCTAGAACCATATGGGAAATTATATAGGGATTATATAGGGGTTATAATGGGTTTATACAGGGGATCTAATTTTTAGATCCTCCCAGGGGTCTGGGTTCGTACATTTGCAAGCAGGGCACGAGCCAGGCGAAGGATAGCAGCATGCTCTCGGAGAACGTCCTGCAGCTTGTGAGTGGTGACTTCCTAACTTACTGGTCTTTAGTAGGCAGTATGGGAATACAGATTTTTTAGGTGCTTTATTCCCATAATCCCTACTAAGAACCAATGATCTTCTGTAGTGTGGGAAAACTAGCAGATGGCCTGACGGTGCGCCGCAAGATGTATTGAATACGGGAGGTTGCCAGCCTCAGCCACCAGGACCTTCCTGGCTGCTTCCCAAAAGCAGCTCCCAAAACTCTAAACCCTAATGTAGACCCCTGATTTAAAACCCCCTCCCCTTAATGGGGATTATAATGGGGATCCTTATGTTTAGGCCCCTAAAAGGAGGTGGTTTTTTTTTATTAATCATGGGTCTACATTAAACCCAAAGACCCAGGCACCCAGAAAAATGGACTCTCGGCCAATATAACCCCAATATAACCTCAATATACTATAGCAGTTTCCATTATCCCAATGAAACCATTAAGAACTTGGTGCTGGGAGCTTATCTGGGGGGTCGGCTCTGCCGCTTCGCGGGGCAAGCGAACCTGACAGGAAACAGTTTGCTTTCAGGGCCTCACTCTGGTAGTTTCCCAGAATAGGGGGACCCCAATATAGACCCTAATATACTTTAGTCCCTATTATTGGGACCCCCAAAATGGTACCCGTAATGATGGGAAACCCCCATCTTACTGGTGCTCAAGGGGGAGAAGATGCCCGTACTAATTCCCATAGAATCCGCTGCAATGGTACCTGTTTACCCCAACTCCCTCTCAAAAAGCAATAGGTAAAACAAGCAGCCCCAGGCATCGCCAAGACAGCACGCCCGGACGTTCAGTCGGAAAGTCTACGAATTGCATCCCTTCTTGCTGCAGCTGAGGTGCTGAAAGCGCGGCCAGCATAAAGGCAGCTATACAGAAGCATAACAACCAGGACCTCAGCTTTCAACCCTAAACCCTAAACCTTGGGTCAATCCCCCACCCAGTAATGGGTACCACAAGTAGGTATAGTAGGGTCCTATTGATTCCTTATTAAAGGAGCTACTACTATGGGGGGGATTGACCCAACCTAAACCCTAAATTAAGCAAAGCACGCAGCTTGCTATCAAGAGAGGCTCCGAGGTTCTGGCACGTCATCGCCAGTAATCTGGCGCCCGTACTTGGCCCCGGGAAGGGCCTTCCAATCATCGCCACAATTTTTTTTGTGATTTTTCATTGGCCCCAAACCCTCACTCACACACCCCGGCCCTAAACCCTTAACTCTAAACCCTAAGATTCTCCATTTGAGCTATAGTCTAAACTCCTAGTATCCCCCTTTTTTAGCCCTAATGGTAGTCCCCTATACAATCCCCTATATCTCCCCCTTTAAGGAGTTTAGACTATTGCTCATTTGCTTTGTACTTCGCACTTTGGTTCCCGGGAGTCAGCTTCTTGGAGTCGTAGAGATAGTGGCACAGATTATTGACATTTCAGTCTTAGTCATGAACGCTATTTAAAGCTGTCGTTGTACTAATGGTGCAAGTAGGACTGTAGCCCCCCTTTATTAGATAGAATATGGGGTATATGGGGATCTAATTATAATATACCCCAAAGCCATATTCTATCTACTTAAGGAGGACGATAGCAGCAGCTGCACTGGCACTTACTTTTGGCTCAGGCCCCTGCTCCAGTCACCGTGAAGCGCACCCACATTGACACGAGAAAACCAACCTAGGAGCCCAAAGGAATGATATACAGGTTTAGGGTTTAGGGTTTAGGGTTCAGGGTTTACGGTTTAGAGGCCCATAGGAGTGATATGGGCAGCTACCAAAATTAGGGTCCCAGTTTGGTCCGCCTAAATATTAGGTGCCGTATTGTAATCTACAGCCAAAAGGGGCCCATCATTTTGAGAACAACCCATATAAAGACACCTTACTTTAAAAAATAGAATATGAGATATACGGGGATCTTGTTATGATTTTGGGCAATTCCATACTCTATCTACTTAGAGGGGGAATGTAAGTACATGATGGCATAATTGTGTGAGATTTAGGCTTGGGCTGCCAGCACAGGATCATTAATGAATGGGATTCTAATAGCTGTCGTGCTACCGAAACGCTGCCTCGAGGGCACAAAAGCCTCTACTTGCTGTAGGTAAGCTGAATCCACTGGAATCGACGAGCGATGCCAAACAATTTGTACATCCGCCGCCTTTGTCCAACTTCTCCTATCTCCTCATGCCGCTGCAGTGCTGCTTGGAGGCTCACACCAAGTTTTGTCCACCTCCCCCGTTTGCGTGCTGCCTTTCAGCCTCTCTTTCATCGCGCTTTGATTTCCTGACCAGCGCAACCCACAAGGGGCGTTCCTCTTTCCCTGTCATCGATTTTTCTGAGGTACGGGTCTTCATGCAAAGGCAAGGTATCTCAGGTCTGCGCAATGAAGCCGGAGATCTCGACTTCCATGTTCACTACTAAGGCAGACACATTGGACCTGGTCACCAGGCTTGCATCCCGGGAGTCTGAAAAACAGATGACCACAGGCCGGCAGCACGAAGAAGGACTTGCCGCTGCCTGTGCGGCGGCCTGTCATTGTGTGATGCAAACAGCCTGGGTGCGCCGCGGCCTTGAATGCTGAATCCCTGGCCTGTGGCGGCTCAGCCCTCGGGAGTAGGGATCTAAATTAAGCAGGCGTGCGATGGTGCGAGCAATTTAGGCTGCTAGATGCTGCTAGGTGCCACACTCAGGATCGCCCGCAGCACCACCCTGGAACGCAACAGGTTCAAGAGTTGTGGAACTGGACCCATCCGTGGCCTCTGCAGCAGGTGACCTGATTTTGCAGGCAGCGCCGTGCAGCTCGACAACACGCTCTAGATCTAGCGAAGGCCCCCACGCTCCAGCTCCAGCAAGGGGCGTCGCCTGCATAGAACATCCAACATCAACAACTCTGCATTAAAAAGATGATACCCCAAAGGAGGCTATAGTCTGATTCCATATTGGGTTTAGGGTTTAGGGTTTAGGGGTTTCATAGTATCCCCAAGAAAGTAGTACTAGACTGCTACAGAAATGAAACCTCCATCCAATGCAACCGCCTCCGAAGCTCCTCCAGCACCGGCCCTGCGCACTTAGCATTGTCCAGGGACTTTAGTAACCCTTATAGTCCCCCTTAAGTAGATAGAATGTGGGGTATATCATTGGGGTTATATTAGGGAATAATGGAAAAGAAAATGGAAGCTACTGTAGAATAATAGGGTCTATATTGGGGTTATAATCCCCCTGAAGTAGATAGAATATGGCTGAGAACATGGGGTATATGGGGATCTTATTATAATATACCCACAGCCATATTCTATCTATTGAAGGGGGAACTATATATAGTCATTATATATAGGCCCTAGATTCCTAGTAGGTAGTTCCCATATGGTCCCTATTAGGGGCCCCTCCTAAAGTCCTTGTAGCCCCCTTGAGTCGATAGAACATGGCTTTGGTTAAGTTATAATAAGATCCCCATATATCCCATATTCGAACCCTGAACCATAAACCCTAAACCCTATTCTATCTACTGAAGGGGGACCTAGAGACATTGTGGCCCAAGACAGCTCTCGAAGTCACGCGGCTCCTCAGCTTTGCCATGATGGTGCTCACAATGCCCAGAATCCTGAGCTGGCCAAGGAAAGCTTTTGGTGTATGCATATACATATATATCTATATGTTTTTGAAATTGCAGTATGTCATAATATATTCCAGTACATTATAGTATTTTGCCGTACATTATTGTATAGTATATAATACTATATAGTAGATGATAATGATTAATGATTGCAAGGGAAGATGGGAAGCTGAGCCCAGCAACACTGCCATGCAGCAAACCTGGGGGGGTTGGAAGGAACGCTTTGCATGCAGCCTCTGGAATGCCTAAGGTGGACACTCCGAGGAAGTATGCGTGAGGAGATGCGCTGAAAGCCTGGGACGAGTAGCGAGCACTGCAAGATCGTCAGAAAGCCGTCGAGACCAACGGCTCAAAATGCGTTTGGGCCCTTGTAGATGAAAGTACGAAACTGTTGCCGCATTATGGATGGGAGGATTGCAAGAGAATTCTGGGCAGCAACTGCACCGTTCATGTTGCTGCGTGAGCTGTCCCTCTCGTGTCTTGCTTTTCATGGGCATTGCTGGTGTTGGGCTCGCATCAGCTGCATACAGATTCCGAATAATGAAAAACTCCGGATTATGCCAGGACCATTCCAACAGCAGGGTAGATGTTCCATGCTCGTTGCTTTGCAGCCCCGACTTACCATCCCGCCTTGCCTTTGGGGCTGGCATAGCATCCGCAAAAAGCTCAGGAAAGAGAAGACATGCGATGATCTTTCAAGAAGGAAGGCCGGCGTGGTAGCTGTTTGCTAGTCCCCACGAGTCCATAGTGAGCCAACCAGCATCATACACAGCTGTGTCAATTACTAAATAAAAATCATCGAAACTGAAACGAATTTCCTTAACAGCAACCCAGCACCTCCGCACACAGTCTCAGCCGAAGGGCGTTCAGCTTCAGAAGGTCGGAAAACGCGTCGGCACCTGGAGAAGATCCATTACGACTGGTTCTTAGTATGCAGGAATGGGAAAAAAGGAAAACAGCTCCCATATAATCCCTACATGCTATATACTATACTTCCATCTTCCCTACTAAGAACCGGCCGGCATTTCTGCTATTAGCATGATTACTACTTTTACTCCTAGAGCATTCATATTCATGCCAAACGGTTCTAACTACCCTACATAAACCCTAAAGGGTGGTTGTCAAAACTATGGTCCTTTTGGGGTCCCCATTATAATACGGCACATAGTATTTAGGGTAGACAAAAAAGGACCATGATTTTAACAACCACCCATATACCCCGTATAACCCCTATTGCAGAAGCTGCTCTGGAATCAACGCACATCAGCGCCTGCAAAGCCAATCAGGTGGACACCTGCCAAAGGGTTTAGGGTTTAGGGTTTAGGGGTTTAGTGTTTAGGGTTTAGGGTTTAGGGGTTTAGTGTTTAGGGTTTAGGGTTAAGGGTTTAGGGCTTGGGGTTTGGGGTTTGAGGTTTCCTCGGGTTTAGGCCAGCGGGCACTACAGTTCAGTTGATACTAAGAAATCCTGCAGGATCCCAAGTACCTTGTACCTTGTGAATTATGGTGCTCCTGTATACTAAGGTCACACAGGATTATTTTGTATCAACAGAAGACCCTGCACCCCAAACCCTAAACCCAAAAGAAGCCCACCCAAAAAGGGAGGTTGATAGGAATCTCCAAAGCCCATGGCCTAGTATCTGAAAAGCTCGCATCTTGTCAGTGCCCATGTGCTTCTCCAAGCGGTTCCGCAGCCTAAAACTTGCAGGTTCTTCAGGGGGGTGGAGTGTAGGGTTGGACCCTAAACCCTAAACCCTAAACCGTACATAACCCCCCATTGTCGCATAGTAATGCCTATGTTCCCTCCCCTAAATCTCGTGCAAGCGCGCTCTGAGATGCCAGCAGAGTTGGAATCAGAAACCTTGGGCCATGCTTCATAGGTTTAGGGTTTAGGGGTTTAGGGTTCAGGAGCTTAGGGTCACTTAGGGTTTAGGGGGTTAGGGTTTCGGGGCTTAGGGTTTAGAAACGCGCATTTTAGGGTTTAGGGTTTAAGGTTTAGGTCGTTGGATGCCTTCACCACCCAGCATTTACCACGAGCTTAGCAGTCAGGGCACAAGAGCAAGAATCGGAGGAAGGAGAAGGTGTCGCTGATGATCGTGGCCTCGCCAGACCTCTGCAGAACCGGGGTTTTTCGGTTTAGGGTTTAGGGCTCATCGGGTGGGTCTCAGCAAGTTCTAAAGAGAACATGGAAACTAGAATGCTCTTGGGATTGCAGGAGGACTGCTAAAGCCTTTCAGAAGGGTACGTCTCCGAAATTCGGCCCCCTTATCCTCACTCGGATTTGATCCGAGTTCACTCCAAGAAGAAAGCCACAGAAGTTCCTCTATGATCCCAAATGAGAGTGCATTCCTGTACTCCCTACTAACTACCTCTTCAAATAAACCCTAAAACCCAATTAGTAGATAATTAGAAGTGTCCCTTCTCTTTTCTATTCCTTTCTTCCCAACGAACCATAAGCAAGCTCAAAAGGGATCGAGGCTGCGAAACCGAGACCCGGGCTCCGAGCCCCTGAGCGCATTGCATGAAGTTTACTGGTTCCCTTTTTTGGATAAAAGGAGTGAAGAGAAAGGCTACTATGGCTTCATATTTCTTATTGGAGTATGAACAAAGAATATTGTAGCTTTGTGTTACTTATTGGTACTAGTATACAGAGTGCAAATCATTCACAACAATGATCCAGCTTAGTGTGCCAGTGCGCGTGCGGCCCAAAACACAAGACAAACAAGCCAAAGGATTCTTCCCACTTGCATGGCAGGAGACGGGGTTTGGGTTTCAGGCCTTTGCCGTTTAGGCCTGTGGGATTGAAACAATCATGCGGGGGTCCTAGAAGCACGTTTCAAGGCATGCAACGGTCACTCCGCGCGCGCCTCACCCTAAGGCCGTAAACCCATGAACCACACTGTCTCCCCCCAAACAGCTTGTCTGCCATCAACTCAACAAACCAGCGAAGCCTGCTTGGAAAGCCGAAAGCTCTTCTCTCCGTCCGCGATGCTTCTTTTCAGAGTTTGATGTTGCTGCTGCTGGTGGTGCCAGAAACAAGCTGATCCCCAATACTGTAGTTGCCCTGCATTCAGTCTCGCAGTGCTGCTGCTAGGGTGGTGATCAAAAGTGATGCAGCAAGATCGGACGGACCAGTACAATGAGAAGATGACTTGATGACGTGTCGATAATACGAAGGATAACCTATAGTGAAAATATATGAAAATCATAGCTGTTACAATTGCTGAGGGTTAGAGTGTAATGAGAATGACAATTTAGCTCCAAAAAAGACTACAGATTCAAGGATGGAGATAAGTAGACCCTCCCTCCTTGCAGCCATCCTTCCCTTCAAAAAAAAGTCGCAAGTCGGAAGTCAAGAAGCTTGCCGTGACAAGGAGTTGGGTGAAATTTCACATCTGTGGGTCCTTGATTGGGTGGCGTTTTGGTGGCAACCACTGGGTTTTGTTCTGCTTAAAGATGGTGATGCGTAGGCTTGAAGCCTTAGTCCGTCTTGGCTGCATGCAAGCTGTGAAGCAAAGCAAGCCTTACTGGGGGTTAGTAAGGAATATGGGAA